CTACTTAGCTGTCTGCCTCCCCTGAGCGCGACCCGTTCAGTCGAACAGCCACTGTTTACGGATGACAGTTTAATTTGTCAGAGGTCAATAGGTTATGAGCGATCCGGAACAAATGTTAGTTTGCATGCACCGAGTATGCTTATAGTGGTATCCATAGCTACATGGTTATGGTTTGTGGTCGTAGGTACAAGAAAAACAAGAAACGTGAAAGTTTTTAGCTGTTATGCACGCAAAACCAAAACACATTTTAGTCAAAACGCCATAAAATATAGATTTGAGAAAACGTTTCACGCAATGGCATCGAAAAAGCAGGCAAGTAATCAAACAAAAACATCCTTATCAGAAGAGGCATCACCGTTTAAGCAGCATCGTACTCATCAGGTACCGCATCAGAAGCTTATCGGTGCCTTTCCCAACGCTACGGTCTGGACCAGCCGGACTAGCCGCACCGCACACTGTCCGACCCCGTCTCAGAGCCCCGCTGCGCCGGCCCTCCGTATAAGATCATGCTCTTCCGCTCCCACCCCGGCCGCACAGCGCACCATCCGACCCCGTCTCAGAGCCCCGATGCGCCGGCTCGCCGTCTAAGATCACGTTCCTCTGCTCCCACCCCAGCCGCACCACAGCTGCGGGGCTCTGAGCGGCTTGAGACGGCTCTGTCCGACCCCGTCTCAGAGCCAGGCTCCGCCGCCTCCGTCCGAGATCGCGTCGCCCCTGCTCCCGCCCCCGCCGGCAGCCGTTTTTACGGCGATGCGAGCAGATGGGCGACGAAGAAGAACGCATGCCTGATTCCCATTTGCCTTCCGCCTCGTTAGTTTAATTCAGCAGCGGGCGACGGCGCTCGTCGCCGCCGCGGGCGCCGCGCCTCGTCACTGGCGCCTCTCGTGGCGGGGCGCCCGGGCGCCCTCTCGGCGGCTGCATTAGCAGTGCTGAAGCGGGTGCCGCGTCGGACCAGTCGGGTAACGATCTTTGATGTCCTCGATTCCCGCGCTGATTTGGATTTATCGGCGCGCCTCGTTGTTTTGAAGCCGGGGATTATGGGTGGGCCGGGGGGACGCGAGCGACTCTGGCCGGGTCAATGGCGAGCTGGCCGTTTCGCAGCGTCGCCGCTCTCCAAACGGCGGCACTCGGCGATGTCCGGCCGCGCGCGGCCGAGCCGAGCCGGTCCCCAGCCGCAGTATCGCCGCTTGGTTTGCCGTGAGATGTCGGCGCTCGGTCCGCGCGTCTCGGCCGCCGGCCAGCGCGGAGGGCTCCGCACCAGCCCTCGCTGTCTCTCGGCCGAGTCGCAGCGGCGCGGAATGGGCGCACGCAACTGGAACGCAGGCCTGGCGAGCGCTGACGGGCACTGCCGCCGGCGGCGCACCGGCCTCCCGGGGGCGCCGCTCGCTGCTGCTCCCGGGGGACGCAGCAGCGGCGGGAGGGCGGGCGCCGCGGCGGGATCGGTCGGTCCGCCTGTCATCCTCCCGGCAGCAGACGGCGGGTGGGCCGGTCAAGCCGGCGAGCGACGGTAGGGACGGGATAAGGGGCTCGCCTCGCGCCGCGTCCGCTCCGCCCGCCTCTCACTTCTGCCGCCAACACGGCCCAAATGCCACCGCCTCTTATGATGGCCCATAAAGTCGAGGACGCCGCTGCGCCCCGAATTAAAGAGTGGACGGCGAAATCAGGCGCGTTCAGCGCCACCATGGCGTCAGCATACTGAGCGCGAGGTGAACTGCCCATGTCGGTCCTATTGGTGGACGAGCCGTGCCGGTACCTTAATCGACGACTGATATTGGTCCAGTACTGGATCGACCCTGTCAGTTCGCCCCTTTCGGCGTGTATCGGTGCGGTTCCGGAAGGTCGATTTAGGCTTGCTTCCTTAAGTTTCTTGCCGTCAACTTTCTTGTGCTACTTGACTCCTATGATGTACATGCCCTGCTAAGGAATCTGCACGTAAAAAAAAGTCCCTGCGGACGAGACTGGTCTCGCTCAGTGCGGGCTTCCATGCGGCCCGTCCATGAAGGCCCGTACCGCTCAGTTTCTGTAAGGTCGAATATGGTTGTACATGGCTGTAACGTTCGCATTCGTCCTCTGCAAGCTTCGATTCGACTGGATGCTACACGCACCGTGGTCAATGAAATTTACACGTCGGACAACAGCGTCTTACAAACTAGCCTAAAGGCAGGATTTAGTTCCCAATAAATTAGAAACATGGACGTATTGTTTGTTGCTGCTGCGGTTTGGCCTCGGCCATAACGCAGCGGACTAAAACAATTACCGTGATTAATGGTTCGCTGACCGCATAATTGCTTCCATTTGCAATTCATGCATGTTGAAGATCTTACGCCTACCGAAAACTCTGTTTTTCGTTTGTGTCACTACGACGTTTTATTCATCTTGTAACGACCCTGCAAAGATTTGACACGGACCCTGAAGGAGGTGACTATGCTCTCGTGATGCTTCGCAAAAGTAGCACTATTTCAAAAATGACAAGTGGTTTTTGTTGACATTGGAAAAGCGGCTAACTGGAAACATAAATTTTCAGTTCGGTCAGCAAAAATAATTTTACTTCTACTTAGAAAAATAAAGGCCTAGGAGCAG